TGTCCCCAGGACACCTTTGAGCGGGTGTTTGTGTCCCCGGGGCTCTGGGTGTGTCCCCATGTCCCCAATGTCTCCCCCTGTGTCCCCAGGACACCTTTGAGCGGGTGTTCGTGTCCCCGGGGCTCTCGGGTGTCCCCTGGTTCGTCATGGCCGGGAACCACGACCACGCCGGGAACGTCACGGCCCAGCTGCGCTACAGCCACCACTCCCCCCGCTGGTACCGCGGCCCCACAGTGGCCCCACAGTGTCCCCAAGGGTCCCCAAGTCCCCTTGGGTTGTCCCCATGGTGTCCTCAAGGGTTCTCAAAGGTCCTTGAGCCCCTTCAGGGTGTCCCTAAGTCCCTTCGGGGTGTCCCCACAGTGTCCCTTTGATGTCCCCAAGTGTCCCCACAGTGTCCCCCCCTGTCCCTGACTGTCCCCCCGTGTCCCCCTGTCCCACAGGCACTTCCCCCACCCCTATAATGCCCTGTCCCTGGCTCTGGGGTGTCCCCAAATCCCCTCAGGGTGTCTCTGAGCCCCCTCACGATGTCCCCACAGTGTCCCCCTGTGTCCCCCCTGTCCCTGACTGTCCCCACGGTGTCCCCCTGTCCCACAGGCACTTCCCCCACCCCTACAACACCCTGTCCCTGTCCCTGACTGTCCCCACGTGTGTCCCTGTCCCACAGGCACTTCCCCCACCCCTATAAGGCCCTGTCCCTGGTTCTGGGGTGTCCCCACGATGTCCCACGTGTCCCCCCGTGTCCCCCTGTCCCACAGGCACTTCCCCCACCCCTATAACGCCCTGTCCCTGGTTCTGGGGTGTCCCCACGATGTCCCACGTGTCCCCCCGTGTCCCCCTGTCCCGCAGGCACTTCCCCCACCCCTACTACAGCCTCCGGCTGCACATCCCGGGCTCCAACGCCACGGGCCGGCTGCTGGTGCTGGACACGGAGCTGCTCTGCGGCCACTCGGACGATTTCGGGGCCGGGGGTGGCCCGGGGGGTCCCCGGGACGCGGCGGCGGCGGCGGCTCAGCTGAGCTGGCTGCGGGGGCAGCTGGAGGGGGCGCGGGGGGCGCGGTTCGTGCTGGTGGCCGGGCACTACCCGCTCTGGTCCGTGGCCAAGCACGGCCCCACCCCGTGCCTGGTGCGGCTCCTGCGGCCGCTGCTGCGCCGGCACCGGGTCAGCGCCTACCTGAGCGGGCACGACCACAACCTGCAGGTCAGGGGGCACGGGGGGCACGGGGGGCACGGGGAGGGGGGCACGGGGGGACGGGACCCTCGTAGAACCACCCCCAGGGCACCCAGGTGGGAGGGGACCCCCTAAAACCTGTCACTGGGGGGGATCCAGGTGGGAGGGGAACCTCATAGAACCACCCCTGGGTGTCCAGGTGGGAGGGGACCCCCTAAAACCTGCCCAGGGGGGGATCCCAGGGGTGTCTTTGGGGGTCCCAGGGGTGTGCACCACCTAGGGGGGTCCCAGGGCTGTGTTTGGGGGTCCCAGGGGTGGTTTTGGGGGTCCCAGGGCTGTTTTGGGGGGTCCCAGGGGTGTGTCCCACCCAGGGGGGTCCCAGGGCTGTGTTTGGGGGTCCCAGGGCTGTTTTTGGGGGTCCCAGGGCTGTTTTGGGGGGTCCCAGGAGTGTGTCCCA